TATAACTCAAAGACATGCCAAAGGAAATGTATTTGCACTGAGATATTTTATTGACAAGAATGAAAGACAAAAAAAGGATATCAGCTTTAGCAAAGTCTCTTATCCCACACTGAGGTAATCTTGGTGTGTTCTGCATGTAGAAATCCAGGTAAAACCAATGGGCAAGCTCAATTTGAAAACATGCTCGGATTGCATTGTCTCTTTCCTCGCTTGGAATATGTAAAATAAAACGGCTGTCAAAAAATAAAACACAAATAAAATTACATTTATAAACCATAACAACTTATTTTACTTTATTCAATTGCTTCATCTCTAGACCATCAACACAGAAGAGACCATGAACAACATTAATCAAAGAAGTAAAATAAGTAACAAGGGGGTTGTTGTAAAGAAAGCAAATCTTTTAAAAAAGAGGCCATATGACATGTACCTTACTCTTAAAGACTTTACAAGAGCCCATTTATCTTCTATGCACAAGTAAGGAGATAATTGTAAGAGCTTACTAACAAATTAAAGACGAGCAAAAAACAACCTTTCCCAGGAGTTTCTCCAATGTCTGATAACATTTCCAAAGGCATATACTACCCAAGTGTACACTGTTTGTATACATGCACTAAAGCACTGATTAGGATAATGACTTTTTTTATTAAACAAAAACATCAGAATTTATGTTAAGTGTCATTCACAGGAGTCACCAATTGCATCTTCTAACACTAACCTTTTTGCGTGATTTTTTTCTAGAAATCTTTAAAAATAGTTTAAACTACACAGGAAGAGTCCACTGGGTTTTAAAAGTCACATTATTTTTTAAGATAAAAATGTTTGATTATTTACCCTATGTACTTGTGTATAAGCCGAATTTTTCAGCACATTTTTAATGCAGTTTTTGTGGTAAAATTAAGTATCGCGGCTGATATTCGGGTTGGTTTACACTCGAGTATATACGATACATTATTAACTTAGCTATAGTCATAAATGATTTTTCATTTTGATGAAATGATTTTCAGAAATGTTTCAAATCACACCCCAAAAAAACCTTTTTTTAAGTTCTGAAAACTATTTTTAAATTAAAAGGTAATTCACTATTTCAATAATGGAGTGATTAAAAGAAAGGGTAAATGCATACATAATAAACAATTTTTCAGTATGAAAAAATCCTGGAGAAAACAACTTAAAATTTATGTACTCTAACAGCAAACTGCATAATATGCTACTTTAATGACATTATCTAAGCTATACAATCTAAACTCTTCCATATATTGTTTGTGTCTGGGATCTGGTCCTTGCCATGTGCCTCCTCACCTTTTTTTCAAGTCTATGATAGCGGTTCTCAACCTGTGGGTCGCAACCCCTTTGGGGGTTGAACGACCCTTTCATAGGGGTCGCCCAATTCTTAACAGTAGCAAAATTATATTTATAAAGTAGCAATGAGAATAATTTTATGGTTCAGGGTCACCACAACATGAGGAACTTATTAAAGGGTCGCAGCATAA